CTAGTTTTTACCATTATCTCAATTTTTGGATCGTGGACGAATATATGCTATTGAGCGTTTCTTCCATTAAGGGGCTGTTTGGTTCATTTTTTAACTCGGTGGAAAAGTTTTACACTGCTTTCACATCAGATTTTTCGTGGCCACGTAGGATATAAGCTTTCCGTCGGTTTCTTTTCCCATCTTTGGTTCGCTAGGGTTGAAGAAGGGAAACTCGGTAAAAATCACCGTCACATCAGATTTTTTCTCTCCCCAAATTCCTTCCTTAACCTCGTGAAATCGACGAAAACTGCAGCCACGTCAGCTTTTTGCCATATAAACAAAAGTTTTCCCTTTTTTTCCATGCGAACCAAACACAAGAAAAATAAATACATTGGTTTCCCACCATTTTTTTGTGCGAACCAAAGCGAAACAATCTATTTCTTGAAAAAGTTTAGAAAACTCAAAACTTGTGTTTTTGTACATGGAAATGCATTTCCCTATATCTAGGAAACGAACCAAACAACCCCTAATTTTACTTGTGTAGTGGATCCTATTTTTAACCATTCCATTATTTAGATCCTATCCTTTGACGGTACTTGCTATTATCCACTTTGACGGATTTGCTTTGTTATTTTTATTCTATTTCTCATCTTTTTAAGAGGTTGATGTATTCCAACGTAGAGAGCTGATTGAGTTGAGAGCAATGGTTGCACATGTATATGTTGAATTTATTTTTGGTTTTGGAAAATAAATTATTATTTAAGTATTTTTCTTATAGATTCTTTGATAAATGAACTTTTACAAAATAATATCCAAAATCTTACATTTAAGGGAAAAAAGTGGAGATAAGAGGCTTAAATATATCATTTAGATATCGTTGTTGTCCAAGAGGTGTACTTCTAGCCTAGCCACTTGCTATTTAGATTTCGAGCTCGTGACAATTTGGAAGGTATTGAAGAAATGCAGGAAACAGCAGAAAAATCAGCCAGGCAGACTGGCGGTCGATCGCTGCGGTCGATCGCGAACGTGCACGAAGGGTAGTGGGATTCGGAGCTAATGGCGGTCGACCGCGGATGACTGTAATCGATTTAAGTCTCAGGTTTGTGGTTCGATCGATCGCCGCGGTCGACCGCGAAACCTGCGCGGTCGACTGCAAACTGTATTGGGCTGGGCTTTTGGTTTTTGACCCGGTTTGTTTCTGAGTTGATATATAACCCTAAACCTGATTAATTAGGGTAAAACAATGACGATTTTGAGCAGTCTTTGAGAGATGATTGTTGCATCCAATTGTGGGTGAGTTGTGAGAGATCTAGAGCTTTGTTTTAGGGTTTGATCGGTGAGATTTATTACTCTACTTGTATTCTCTGATTTCTAATAGTAAGAACTCCCCCCCTCCTTGCCCCGTGGACGTAGGCAACTTGTCAAACCACGTAAATTGTTTGTTCTTGCTGTGGTTGTGTTTTGCTTATTAGTTATAGTTTATCTCGAGTTATTATTCGTGTTGCACAAGAAGCTTCCGCCGCGCACAACAACTGGTATAAGAGCTAGATTGACAATATGAGAGAAGCAAAGACATCAGATTCGTCTCTTACAAAGGCGATACAGAGTCTGAGCATCAATAACACAAAGATTGATGTTCCAAAGTTCGACGGTAAGATCAATTTCGGATTGTGGAGGTGTCAGGTGATGGATGCCTTGGATGCACAGAATTTGGAGGAGACTCTTGAGTTAAAAGAGAAACCCATAGATATGGAGGATAAGGTTTGGAGGAAGATGAACAATAGAGCTTGTGGTGTATGCTTGACGTCGGGTCTTATTTATGATGTTATGAATGAGACGTCGGCGAAGAAGATGTGGGAAATACTCAATAAGAAATATCTTACGAAGAGCATTGAGAATCGGCTTCACTTGAAAAAGAGATTTTACCAGTTCAAGATGAAGAGAGGAGTTTCCATCAGGGAGCATG